GGTAAAGATTCCCTCCCTGTTTTCTCTTCTTTTTCTTTCTTTTTTTTCTCTTTCTTTCTTCTTTTTCTTTCTTTTTTCTCTTACTCTCTCTTCTTTTTCTTTTTTTTCTCTTTCTCTTCTTTTTCTTTTTTTCTTCTATTCTTTTCCATCTCTCTCGCTCTCTCTATTCTCCTTCTCCCATCTCTCTTTCTATCTTTCGCTCTCTCTTATTCTCCCTCTTCCATTCTCTTCTCTTTTCCTCATCCCCTGTCCCGTACTCTCTTCCTCCTCGGGGGGGGGAAGGGCCGCGGGGAGGTGATGGGTCGAGATGGGGGAGAGGAGGGGGAGGGGAGGGTGGGAGAAGGAGGGGGGAGGGGAGGGTGGGAGAAGGAAGGAGGGGGAGGGTGGGGGAAGGAGGGGGAGGGATGTGGGAGAAGGAGGTGGGAGAGGGGGGAGATGGGAGGATGAGGGAGGGGAGAAGGAGGGTGAGGGTGGGAGAAGGAGGGAGAGAGAGGGGGGAGATGGGAGGATGAGGGGGAGGAGAAGGTGGAGAAGAGGGAGAAGGAAAGAAGGAGGTTGAGAGTGAGGAGAAAAGGAGGAGGGGAAGAGAGGAGAGGAAGGAGAAAACGAGCGGGAGAGAAGGGGGGGAGGAAAGAGGAAGTGGGAGAGGAGGAGAAGGAGAAAGGAGGAGGGAGAGGGGAGGAGAAGAAAGGAAGGAAGTGGGATAGGGAGGAGAAAGGGAAGAAAAGAGAAAATAAGAGGGGGAGAAGCGAAAATTGAAGAAAAGAGGAAAGAAATGGAAGAGAAAGACGGAGAGGAGGAAGGGGATGAGGGGAAGTAAAGGAATAAAGGACAGACAATGAGAAAGAGGGAAAAGTGGGGAGGGATGAGAAGAGAGGCGGAAGGAAGGGAGGAAGAAAAGAAATAATGTGATAATGATATAAATGAGAAAGGTTGGTGGAATAGGGAATAAGAGAAAGAATAGCAATTAAAGTAAAGAAGAAGTAAAGAAGAACCAAGAAGTGGATAGCGACAGGAAGAAAAAAAAGAAAAAGAGAATGCAGAAAAAAAACAAGAAGAGACAAAGAAAGAGGAAAAAAAAATATATACGAAAAGAGAAGAGGAGGGGGGAGGGAGGGAACGCAACAGATGTTCGGAGGAGCGGGGAGAGAGACGGGGGGTGGGGGGGGGGGGGACGGCGCTTCGGACAATGGCCAGCTGAAAGAACCTGTAATAAAATTAATCTTCCTCTCGCAGAACGATTTCTTAAGATTCCGTTCGGATGGCGACGGATGAACGGCCGCTCGTGGTTTATGTCGACGCCAATCTCTTCATTAGCAGAAAAAGGTGTGTTTGGAATGCACGTATATGTATATATATATATGTAGATGTAGATGTAGATGTAGATGTATATACATACATACACACACAAAACACAGCACACACGGATACAGACACACACATACATACACACACACACACACACCACACACACACAACACACACACACAGACACACATCAGACACACACACACACACACACACACACCACACACACACACACACACACACACACACACACACACACACACACACACACACACACACACACACACACACACACACACACACACACACACACACACACACACCCACGCATGTGTGTGTGTGTGTGTGTGTGTGTGTGTGTGTTCATCCCTTCTGGGAATATGTGAATTCCCTATCAAATAAATTTATCCTGCCATCGACTGAGAAAAGAGGGAAATTAACCCAGAATAACTCCCACGACCTTCCGCTCCTCACGAGACCACGAATCCATGAATCCGATCTGCGACTTAGCCGAACGCACCGCCATTACCGTCGTTCGCTGCATGGCCGACGTTATGCGAACGCCCGGGAGTAATCCGAGGAAGGAGGAGGGAGGGGAAGGAGGGAAGGTACAGGGCTAAGGGAGGAGAAGGAAGATAAAAATGAGGAGAAGGGAAGATAAAAGGAAGATGGAAAAAGGGGAAGGGAGAAGGGGAAGGAAAGAACGCAGACAGACGAAAAAGAGAGAGGGAGAAGGGGGGGAGGGAAAAGGAGGGAGGGAGAACGGGAAGGAAAGAACGCAAACAGACGAAAGAGAGGGGAGAGGGGGAGAGGGGGAGGGAGAAGGGGGGGGGGAGGAGGGAGGGAGAACGGGAAGGAAAGAACGCATGACAGACGAAAGAGAGGGGGAGAGGGAGGGAGAAAGGGGGAAGAGAGAGGGGCAGTAGGAGATTAGATTCAGGGAGATTTACGACGCAAATCTCTCGACAGCGTTATAGGGGGATTACAGTTCCAGGTAACTTGACTAATCCAGACGAATCCGGACGAATCCAGGGGGTCGCGCTGCCACAGGTGTACGAGAGACACTTAATAAAAGGAAGAAGACGGAGATGATGATGATTAAAGAATTGAGAATAAAGGAAGAGGGAAGGGCGGTGACGAAAGTGAAAATATAAGAACAGGATAAATTAAGGGAGGAAATGAAGGTGAAAATAAGAATAACTGTGATGGTTACGAAGAAAAAGAGGAACAAGAAGAACGAGAACAGAGGAAATAAGATGGAGGAGGAGGAGGAGAAGAAGAAGTAAAGGAAGAATGAGAAGGAGAAGAAGAGGAGGAGGAGGACGAGTGAAAAAAAGAAGAAGAAGAGGAAGACGAGTGAGAAGAAGAAGAAGAAGAAGAAGAAGAAGAAGTGGAAGACGAGTGAAGAGAAGAAGAAGAAGAAGAAGAAGAAGAAGAAAGAAGAAGAGGAGGACGAGTGAGAAGAAGAAGAAGAAGAAGAAGAAAGAAGAAGAGGAGGACGAGTGAGAAGAAGAAGAAGTGGAAGACGAGTGAGAAGAAGAAGATGAAGAACAAGAAGAAAGAAGAAGGAGGACAAGAAGAAGAAGAAAAAAAGTAGAAGAAGGAGAAGAAATTGAAGGTGTCTGATAGGTAACAACCATAACAAGCAAATATCTGGCACGAATATGAGATACTGATACTTTGGTGATCATGATATCAATCGCAAAATGATGAAGACAACTAGCTATAAACATGATAACGATAAAGATACTGTAGATAGACAAGAGGTGATAATGCCACTGATAATAAAAATGCCAAACTGACAATAAAGTAACACTAATTAATGGTCATTATCATAATCGTATCAGTAAGATGCACAGATCTAATACATGCGCAAAATAACAGTAATCCGTATTTCCAACTGTAATGATGATATATAATAATAATAATAATAATAATAATAATAATAATAATGTAATGTAAGTCACCATCATTTACACTCATTACATCACCACACGTTTCACTATCATTGGACCTCGACTCTCCCAGTCACACTCAGTCATCATCTCCACCATCTTTATCTCCATCTTTATCACCCTCTTCGCTGCCCTGCCCACGCGCGTCCACCTCCTTTCCCTCGTTGCAACAGTCGAGGGTCAGCAGGTCATATGCCCATTGCGATATTGCAGCGGGTTCGGCGTGACCTTGCGAGAATCAGCCGCGTCACGATGGACAGGCTGTACGGATCTCCTTCGGAAAGAAAAAAAGAGAGAGAAAAAAAAAAAAATCTTTGTCTACTTTGTATTTATGTGTCTGGGCTTCGCAGTCGGCGAGGGATGTATCAAACATACATACATACATACAATATATCACACAAACACACACACGCAAGCACACGCGCACACACACACACACACACACACACACACACACACACCACACACACCACACACACACACACACACACACACACACACACACACATATATATATATATATATATATATATATATATATATATATATATATATATGTATATATATAATATATATATATATATATATATTATATATATATATATATATATATATATATATATATATATAAAGACTCGTACACACTCTAACTGGTATGAGGAACAGAGGTCAGAATGTCAAGCATTTCACCGCTTGTATTTCCTTCTCTGTGACTAAACACTTTCTTCAAAGTATAAGCAAGTATAAAAAAAAATCAAATAAATAAATAACGCGACAAAGAATAGAATAGAATAAGAAAAAAAAAACAATAAAAAACACAAGTCGATAAAACGGTCCGCAATCTCCACACTTTCCCCCCCCACCTCCACCTCCACCTCCTCCTTCCCTCCCTTTACCCCCTCCCCCCCCCGCCCTCCCCTTACCCCTCCACCCCGCCCCTCCCTTACCCCTCACCCCCCCCCCGGTTTAATGGACCCCCTCTGTATCAGTCATTACACAGCTTGGGTCACTAAACGCGCCTTATTAAGCAACGAAAACTCGACTTAGAGCGGAGCGGCGAGGGGGTGAGGGGGTGAAGGGGGGTGGGGGGTGAGGGGGGGAAGGAGGTGGAAGGAGAGGCGGAGGAGTAGTGAGGGGGTGAGGGGGGGAAGGAGGAGGAAGGAGAGGCGGAGGAGTAACAGGTATGGGGGGGTGGCGGTGGGGGGTGGTGGTGGGAAGGGGTGGGGGGGGTGACATACATACCCAGCCTTACTCCTCCTCCTCCTCCTCCTCCTCCCCTCCTCCTCCTCCTCCTCCCTCCTTCCCCCTGTACCTCCGGGACCCCCTCCCCTCTTTCCCTCTCGCCACCCCCTACTACGCCATCGCTTCATCCAACCCGTTAACTCCGCGATATGAAGGAGAAGAATAAAAAGTAAAATAGAAGAGAAAAGAAAAAAAAAAACGAGAAGGAAAGACGAGAAAAATCCAAACCAGATACTCAACAAAATTTAAAAAACAAACAAAAAATTCCTTTCCTAAAAAGTAGAATAAAGAAAAAAACAACAACAAGGAAAAACGAGAAAAATCCAAACCAGATCCTCAACAAAAACAAACAAACAAACAAACAAAATTCCTTTCCACAAAAATCCAAACCAGATACTCAACAAAAATAAAAACAAACAACAACAAACAAACAAAAAATTCCTTTCCACAAATCCAACACCAGATACTAAAAAAAAAAAAACTTTCCACACTTACCTTTCAAAAAACGAAGAATAAAATATCCTCAAAAGACGCGAGTGTCTCCTTCACTCCTTCAGCGCAACGTGGTCGTCAGCAGAGCCACCAGGAATGCCACGAGTCCCACCACAGTTAGTGCCAGCGAGGCCAGGAGTGCCACACACACACCTCTCGTTAGGCACTCTTTTCTCATTACTAGGTGTCACTCTGTCCCTCTCTCACGAATAGCAAGTGTTTCCCGTACATAAGTTTGTTTGTTTTATTTTCTTTCTTTCCTTTTCTTGTCTTCTCTTGTTCTGTTTTTTCCTTTTTTCCTTTTTCTTTTCCTTGTTCTTTCTCCCTTAGCTAAACCTTGTGTTTTATTTCACTTATCAGTACATCAGTTCTAAACAGAATAACATCATCACATCCTGCTTTTGTCTTTATGATGTGTCCTTAAACCTTCTTTTCTATTTCCTTTCTTCTTCTTCTTCGTCTTTCTACTCTCTTCTTCTATCTATCTCTTCTATCTCATCCGTACACTTCAACCATTTCATAAACTAATACAATACTTGAAGCAAGAGTATTACAGCTGATGTCGTGGTACAGGAGAGAGGATACAGTATACAGCATACAACACTTCGGAGCGTTGGATCCTGGAAGTAAACAAAGGAAAATATATTATTATGAGTGTCATCAACAACAAATATACAGTAAATCCTTACTCAGCTGATAAGATAAACAATAAGTTAAGCAGAAAGAATTATCTGTATGTATATATGAGAGAGAGAGAGGAGAGAGAAGAGAGAGAGAGGAGAGAGAGGAGAGAGAGGAGAGCAGTGCGAGGATTGAGGAGATAAGAAGAGGGAGAGACGAGAGAGAGAGATATGAGAGAGAGAGTGGAGAGAGAGAATGAGAGAGATGAGATAATATAAAAAAAATAAAGCATCATAAATAAGCAGAAAGAATCTATCTGTTTGTATATATATAAGGAGAGAGATGGAGAGGAGAGAGGAGAGAGAGAAGCGTAGAGAGAGAGAGATGAGAGGAGATGGAGAGAGGAGGGGGAGGAGATGAGAGAGAGAGAGAAGATGAGGAGAGAGAGTTGAGAGAAAGAGAGGAGAGAGACAAGAGCCCGGATGGAGAGAGAATGGAGAGACGGAGATGAGAGAGGAGAGAGGTGATGACTGAGAGGAGAGACGGAGTGGTTTAGACAGTGTCTTTGAGATGAATGAGAAGAGAGAAAGATCTGGAGTTGGGGTATTAGAACTTCAGTGATGTTATGATGAGGATGAGCAGAGAAGAGATGATCAAGAGAGAATGGACTCAGAAGATGATTGAGGGTTTGAAAGGAGATGAGATTAGAGAGATAGTGCTGATCTGAGAGAGACGGCAGAGGAGAGATCGAGTGATGATCGTTTGAGAGATGAATGTGAGAAGTATGAAGAATGAGAGAAAGGAGAGAGAGGAGATTGCAAATTAGAGTAATGCAAAAACAAGACAACGAATAATGACAGTAAGGAATACAAGTAGGAATAAAAACATTAATTTGAAATAAGTCCTGAACTAACACTATTGTCTCAGGACTCCATTAACATGTAAATAAATAACGAATTAATAATATATATATATATTAATAAAATATAATATATATATAGTTATATATAACAAATAAAAAAATTATTAAGAATTGTCGTCTTCAAAACATCCTTCGTGTATCAATCGTGGAATAAACTTTTACGTTTTATAAACAAAAAACACCACAGCCAAAGGGGTTCATCGTGAACTGACATTCATCATATAACTTTAATCTACTTATACAACTAGGTCAATTAATTATGCCATTTCCGTTCCGCTTAAACTTAATAAACTTCTTTTTCCATGACCATTACTAAGCTCCCCAACAATGTTAATTACACTTCAATCAATATACAAGACGCTTTGACCCCCAATCTTTCAAAATGGCGAAATCCCGGCAAGCTTGCGCACCCGGGTTGAGTGCCACGTCCTGATTTAAGAGTCGAATTAATTCGAGAGGAAAAGAAGACAGGTCTGAGCGCGATTTCGTCTTTAACCACTTCCGGTTGTCTTCTCCTCCTCCTATAAGAGTGACATCAGATAGGGATAGGTATCGATTGTGTTATTTGTATGTATACTAATGATACTATAACTTAAGTTGTGTACTAAATATACATTTAATGATCCATGAGGGTATATCATGAGCATAAGTAGTATAGTGTTAATGTAATATAAATAGTAATCGTTTTTGTATATTAAAAATATGCGTGTGAAAAGATATCAGAATAATAGACAGATTTGTACTAGAACAATAAATAAATGGTAATGCAAAATAATGATTTATATACATGTGGAAGTATATAATACATTAAGTAATGAGTAAACAGCAGAAATAATTAAAAGATATTAAAGGAAGAGAAGAATGCCAGAAACAAGTGAAAAAGAAAAATCAAGAAGATTCAGAATTATAGATACAACATTAAAATGGAAAGAATGAGAATATAAAAGACAAATTCAGAGATACAAGATACGAAATATAAATAAACAAAATGAAACAAGAATAAATGAAGAAATATTCAGAAATCAACGAATAAATGAGTTGAAAAAAAAACGAGATAACTTTTTAAAAAAAAAGTACAACTTTATACGAAACTAACTTAACTACTGGATAGATTTAAAATTGTATGTCAAAATTATGGTGTTATTTCTATGCTAAAGTGCTTATTGACGTTGGTATTAGAAATAATAAATAAGTCCGTGTAGTATAATGTATACAAACCGTTCTTTTCTGTCCGTCTTTCCCTATTTTCGGTCTATTTCCCATTTTCTTAGAGCGAGGGAAACAGCTTGATATCATACACCGCATGATATTGTGCAGTAGCCATTAAGGTGAGTGTGATGAGGTCTTTATGTAAATGAATAATTTATGTGTGGCAATAAGTGGCTTGTCTAGCTCCGTGTGCGTGTGTGTTTGTTTGTATCTTTCTGGTTTACGTTTCCGTTTTTTTTTGTTTGCTTCTTGGTCTCTGTGTGGAATTTCTTCGTTGTTGGTGGACTTTCACGGTATTTTTTGCGTGTTTGCGATATGTTTCTGTGTGTGTGTGTGGTTGTATTGTGTGTTGTGCTTCTGTTGTGTGTTGACATGTGTGTTTGTGTGTGTGTTCTATTTGTGTTTGTGTTTGTGTCGTGTTTGTGTGTTATTCATTGTGTTTTTATGGTGTTCATAGTCATTATGTGTGTGTGTCGTGATGTGTGTGTGTGTTGTGTGACGATTAGAGAGATTAGAGATGAGAGAGATAGAGAGATGTGAGAGAGAGAGAGAGAGCTTCGAGAGTGAGTGAGGTGCAGTATGAGTGAGTGATGTGTCAGTTGATGAGAGAGGCAGAGACGATGTGAGAAGATGAGAGATGAGAAGAGAGAGAGTGAGCGGACTGAGTTGAGTGACGTGAGGGTGAGTGAAAGTGATGTGACTCGTGAGATGAGAGAGATTTGATACGATATCAGGAGAGAATGAGATGAGATCGAGAGATCTGAGAGAAAGAAAGAAGAAAGAGATGGTTTAGAGAGAGAGATTGATGAGAGATGAGACTAGTATTGATAGAGAGAGAGTGATTGTGAGTGAGTGTAAGTGAGTGACTGAGTGATGTAGACGTGAGTTGAGTGAGAGAGCAGAGAGAGAAGCTAGAGAGAGAGAGAGAGATACAGAAACAGAGACAGACAGACAGTACAGAGACAGAAGAAGAGAGAAAGAGGAGAAAGATAAAGAGATATACAGAAACAGAGACAAGACAGAGATCTGTGGCCCGTGTACGTACAGCATACGTGTCGCGCGTGAGCCGGGCGCGTGTACGTTTTCCACCGCCCACCCCCTCGGGCAATTCATGACCCCATAACATTTTTCAAAGTCATGACCGCCCCCATACACCCCTAAACCACGACCCTGCTATACACACGCGCAAAAAGACGACCACGCCAAAGGAGTAAGATGCGTAAAGTACAAAACCTAAAATCACTTTCCTATTTTGAGGTTTTCGTAGCTGAGAAAGGGGACGATATAGACTGTAGAGGAAATATAGAATATAGGGGGCGGGAGGGGAATGAGGGGGGGGAGGGGTGGGGGAGGGGTGAGGGATGGAGGGGGTGAGGAGGGAGGGAGGAGGGGAGGGGGAGAGAGAGGGGGAGAGCAGGAGAGAGAGAGACAGAGACGCAGAGAGAGAGAGATAGATAGATAGATAGTATAGATAGATTGGAGAGAGAGAGAGGAGAGAGAGAGAGAGAGAGAGAGAGAGAGAGAGAGAGAGAGAGAGAGACAGACAAGACAGACAGACAGAGACAGGACAGACAGAGATAGGAAGGGAGAGAGGAAGAAGAAAAGAAAGACAGAAAATAAAAGAACAAAATAAATAATAAATAAAAAATTTAAAGTAAAAGTAGGAAAATGAGACTGGCAGAGACATAGAGCAAGAGAAAGGAACGGGTGGAGCGAGTGAGGACACCCCCCCACCCCCACCCCACCCACCCCACCATCCCCTTCCCTTCCCTTCCTCTGCACGACGGAGGGACCACGCCACCCCCCCTGGCCTTGCGCTTCCTGCAGCCGACCCTCCTTCCTTCCATCCTCCTTCCCTCTCTCTCCTCTCTCTCTCCCTCTCTCTTTCTCTCTTTTCTCTTCTTCTTTCTTTCTTTCTCTCTTTTCTTTCTTTCTTTCTCTCTCTCTCTCTGTCTGTCTGTCTCTCTCTTCTCTCTCCTCTCTCTCTTTCTCTCTCTTTCTTTCTCTCTCTCTCTGTCTGTTGTCTCTTCTCTCTCTCTCTCTCTTCTCTCTCTCTCTCTCTCTTCTCTCCCTCTCTCTTTTTCTTTCTTTGTCTCTCTCTTCTCTTCTTTCCTTCTTCTTCTTCTTTTCTTGCTTTTTTTCGTTCTTTCTCTCTCTCTTTCTTTCTTTCTTCTTTTCTTTCTCTTTCTTTTCTCTCTCTCTCTCTCTCTCTCTCTCTCTCTCTCTCTCTCTCTCTCTTCTCTCTCTTCTCTCTTCTCGTCTCTCTCTCTCTTCTTCTCTTCTCACTCTCTTCTCTCTCTTTCTCTCTCTCTCTCTTTCTCTCTCTCTCACCAGACTATACACACACACCACCACTATTCATGTGCACACACACACACACAAACACACACACACACACACAAACACAAACACCACACACACACACACACACAACATACACACACACACATTACACACAACACACACACACACACACACACCACACACACACACACACACACACACACACACACACACACACACACTAACACACAACAAACACACAACACTACACACACACACACACACACACACACCACACACACACACACACACACACTACACACTCGCTGCACTTTTATCCATCGCCTACACACACTCTTCTCTCTCTCCCTCCATTCACAAAAACCTATATTCCCCTTCTTTCTCTCTAACTTCCCATGCCTTTCCAAATCTCTCTTTATTCCCCTTATACCTATACCGGGTCCAAAAAAAAAAAAAAAAAAAAAAAATCACTACACAAGATTGACCTTTTCGTCACATTATATAAATTTCCT